CAGGGTCGGCCGTGTTGAAGTCCAGAGCCTAAACCACTACGCCACCTGCTGGCCCCGACACAATGTTATTCTAATAACTAAATGGTCTCAGGAAATAGACATGGTTAATAACCATGGAAGAAATCAAGGAAGTTATCAAAGATACTTCAATTCTTTTAAATATTTAGAGAGCAAATCGGCCTCAATGACTGTTTCCAGCCATCAGTTAACAAAGAACAGTTTCTTGCTACTTGTTTCAGTTTCTATTAGGGGGTCTCTGTGTTTATTTGAATATTTTGCTGCAGGTTATCTCTATGCCATTTTAGAGAAACAAATGGCATGTGGAAAACCAGAATTTCTAACTCTCATGACAAAAACTATAGGCAAACTGAACTTCATAGGAAGTTGGAAATCACTACATCTCAAATAAGTCAAAGGTTTAACTACGTAAGACACAGACTAAATGAAAACAGCTATAGCAGTTATTTCCCTGCGGCACCACTAGCTTTCATCCTGCTGCATAATTCCTTCTAGTAGTATCCCAACTGCAATAATTCTTTGACCCATTGCAACCTATACACATGATCCCATCAGTTTTCCTTTTAAAGAATTATTTATTAATTATTATTATTCTTTAATTTAACCAGAAAGAGATAGAGGGAGAGTGAGAAAGCAAGCCGCCAGGTCCAGGACTCAAACCAGACTCGGCCACATGTAAGTCCAGCACCTTATCCACCATACCACCTGTGAGTCCCATAGCATACCACTTTTTCAATGTTTTTCTCTCCTTACACATTTTACAAAAAAATTCAGAAATCTTATGTGTAAATTTTCTGTAATACACATTTTCCATGAACTTTTTAAAGATCCTTCCTCATATACTCACAGTGTTATCATTCAGTCTTATGTCTGTATATAGTATCTTCTTTGCTCAATATCGTCCATTTTCTTTTTTTTTTTTTTTGGAGAGATTTTTGCTATAGAGTGTGTGCGCTTGCCAGAAAGATAGAGACATAGAGACAGAAAGCAAGAAATCACCCCCCAGGGGAGACGGCCACGCCGCCATCCCTTCTCCCTTCTCTGGATCTTGGGCACCTAAAGTTTCCCAATGGCTTCCTACTTTCCCCTAAATCAAAGTCCTTACAATGGACACGGTCTTATATGAAAGACTATCCCAAAAAACTCAATTCTTCAACTCTCAGGCTCCACTATTCTCCCTCTCTTAATGATCTCAATTCAACACAAGTGTAGAACTATATTGTTAATGATTTTTATCTAAAAGGGAGCACTGAGTCAAATTAGATTAGAATAAAGGACTTTTTCCCACAGAGACTACAAGTTTTACGCATAACTAACTGCTCAGAAATGAATCCAAGACAGATCTTCCTTGAAAGAGCAAGTTCTATGTTGAATCCAGATACCAGCTGCAGGTCAAGGTGATGTAAGGCAGGAGCCAAAAAGAAGATCAGCTAGACTGTCTGCTATGCCTGCACCCATTACCCCAGAGTTGAAACCCAAAAGAACATCAAGTCAAAGGGAAATAAAGACAAAAAATGAGACAATAAAAAAAAAAAAAAAAAAAAAAAAAATGAGACGATAAAAAAAAAAAAAAAACAGATGTAAGTGCAAAAGCAACTGCTGAAACCAAGAAGCTGATAAAAAAGAATACAACAATGAAACAGCTGAAAATGAAGAAGTCAAAATTATAGAGGCACCAGTTCCTGAAAAAGAAATTGAGATAAAAGAAGGACAAATTGAAGATGTCAGAGAGGAAGGAGAAAAGAAAGAAGCAGTGGCGGCAGAAGGCAAAGACGACATAAAAAGAAGATCTGAAAGAAGATGATGTAGATCAAAATAAAGAAGGGTAAGGCAAAGATAGAAAAGGCAACAAAGACAGAAAAGAGAAAGAAGACCGTGGAAAAGAAGACAAAGTTTCATCCAGTATTCTTATGGTTCTCTAGTTGCTTTTATAAAAAAACAAAGGCGAACTATTTTCATGTAATGTTAAGAGTTAGAATTCTTTCCCAAGTATAACTTTATTATTAACTTGTGGGAAAAAAAGTTGTAATCCCATTTTTAAAAGAATGCAAATGTTTATCTGTGTATGCACAAAGTTTTACTTGATTTTATCTTAATACAAGGACTCTTCAAAGATGAAAAAAAAATTTTATCTAAAAGATATGGAAAAATAAAGGACTGTTTATTTTTAATTTGCAGTATTTATATGTATATATGTATATATTTGTTATTATCTTTCTACGAGCAGAAAACCACTCTAATAGGTAAGGATATCATTAAACTTTCACATATTCATGGACTTTCTTTTGTGAAAATGAGCTCCTAAAAATGCAGATAAAATGAAATCTATTGTCTTACTGAATCACTTTCAGTGGGAAATCAGGGACCAGCAGTTGGTATAATGGCTATGTCTCTGGACTCCCATGTAGTCAACTGCAGTTCGAATCCCAGACCCAGTGGCTTAAACTCACGCTGGGCGTGTGTGTGTGTGTGTGCATGTGCCCAAGATCCTGAGAGGAGAATGGAGAAAAGAAGGGATTGCGGTGTGGCCATCTCCCCCCCCAGGGGGGTGATTTCTTGCTTTCTGTCTCTGTCTTTTCAGTGAGTGCATGCACCCTATAGCAAAAACCTCTCCCAGGAAAAAAAAAAAAGTGGGAAATTATAAATTAGGGAATAATGCTATAGAAATAACTAATCAGCAGTGTGGAGAGAAAAGGAAATGTAGATTCTTAAAGTTCTCTTTTCAAAAACAAATTATGTCAGGGATCAGTAGTTAGCATAATGGCTATGTCGCTGAACTCCTATGTAGTTGACCGCAGGTCCCAGACCTGGTGGCTTAAACTCACGCCGGGCGCGTGTGCGTGCGTGCCCAAGATCCTGAGAGGCGAATGGAGGAGAAGGGATTGTGGTGTGACCATCCCCCCCAGGGCTGTGTCGTGACCATCCCCCCCAGGGCTGTGTGTGTGTGTGTGATTTCTCACTTTCTATCTCTGTAGAAAGTAGAAAGACCAGCCTGTAGCACAGTCGTTAAGGCAGCTGGATCCTACATGGCCAACTCTGTGGTCTGAATCTTGGACCCATGGTTTAAAAAACACGCCAAGCTCATGTATGTGCATGTCCAAAATTTTTAAAAGAGAATTGGAGTAAAGGGGGTTGTGGCATAACCATTCCCTATAAATGATGCTTTCTTTCTGTTTTTCTCTAGTGAGGGCGTACATCCTCTGGCTAAACTAGAAAAAAAAAAAAAAAAGCATTAATAAAAATGGCGACTAAGGCAGCCAGATCCCACAGGGTCCACCACACAGTTCAAGTCCAGACCCAGTGCCTTGGGAAACTCATAGGCGTGTTTGTGTGAGCATATGTCCATAATCCCAAAAGGAGAGAGAAAGACGGAGAAGATGGGATTGTGGTATAACCACTCCCCAGGGGGAGTGCCTTCTCCTCACTATCTCTCTGTGGTAGTGAACATGCTCTCAGGCAACAATAAATGAAAACTTGAAAACTAAACTTAAAACTTAAAATCACTAAAGCTAAAACAAACTTCACAACCTGGAAAATATTTACTTTTTATTTGAGAAAAAAAGATTCAAACTTTAAATATAAAAAAAACCTTTACAGAGGTAGACAGCTGGCATGGCGGTTAAGGTGCTGGACTTCCTTCCACATGGCCAACCGTGGTTTGAGTCCTGGACCTGGTGCCTTACTTTAGCACCCCCCCCATCAAATTTAAAAATAAATAAATGCATACATAAAACTATATAAATAATTCTTTAAAAAACACTTACTAATCATTAAAAACAAATGAACAACTCAATGAAAAAATGGTCACAGAACAAGAAATGTACAACTCATGTGAATACTAACAGATGAAAATATATTCAACTTCTAATGTATTCAAAGGATGCAAATAAAACAATGAGCAATACTCTCAACCTATGTGATTGGAAAATATTTAAAAAATGACAGCATTCAATAAACAACCTCACTTTGGAAAGACAAATTGTACACTGACCATATCATTTCTGGAGAATAGTTTGGAAATATATGTCAAAATTTTAAGAGAGCTATTTTTTTGGAGGGGGTGGGGAGAGTGCATGTGCTCCCCAGAGAGAGAGAGAGAGAGACAGAGAGAAGGAAAGTGACAAAGCACCCGCTATGAGGGCAGTCATGCCCTCTCCTCCATTTCTTCTCCATTTCCCCTTTTAGGAATTTGGGCATGTTCAGACATGTGCTCAACATGCTTTTCAAGTCACTGGATCTGGGACTTGAAAAATTCATTGTTGGCCATGTAGGAACCAGTCACTTTAACCACCATGCCACCACTGGCCTAGCGTGCGTAATTTTTAATCTAGAATAGTCACTATTGAATACTTATCCCAAGGACATAATCAGACAATTGTTCAAAATGTATATATAAGAATTCCCAGTGATAAAAGTGATAAATTAAAAATATTGAAGACAGCATAAATATCTATCAACATGCTTTAAATTTTGGAACATTTATATTATACAGTAGGAATTTATGTGTGTATTAATGATTAACATAAAATATTCTGTGTTACAGTAAGTGGGAAAAAAGTTTCAAAATAGCATACATGTCATGATTCCCACCTTTAGTTAGGCTTTCAAATTATTTTTTTCTTTGCCTCTTTATAGTTGTTTATATTATTTAGATTTTCTATATGGGAATCATCTCCTAAAAACTGTTGGCAAATTTTGGATTTACAGAAGGACAACTCTGACTGCAGGAACTTCAACTCGTTTGTGGTATCTAAATGGGCGGCTGGGAAAGGGGTCTCAGACTACTCAGTGCTTCAGGCGGAACACGCGGCTGGGCACATTGCAGATCATTCACATCCCCGCAGAGCCTGTGCTCCCAACTCACTCCATTTTCTTATGGCTACACTATGTGAAGTCAACAAAATGATAAAAATATGAAGAAAGTTTTAGGAACTTTTTTCCAAATACAACAAAATCATAAATTAACAAAGTAAAATGATTACCTATCTCCCTTTGGTTTTCTTTTTTGTAGTGTCTTCCCTTTAGGTCTTCTTTCACTTCCTAAACAAGGGCTCCCACCAGGTCCTGTTACCCGTATTGATTCAAGGCCTTTGGAAGATTTTTTAAATGTGAATTCCACTGGTTCTCCTTCTTTTAGGCTTCGAAATCCTTCCATGAATAGTTTGCTCTGTAAAGAACAGGGGAGAGGAGGGGAGAGAGAAAGAGAGATCATAATTATCCCTGCTTTATAAATTATCTCTATAATTTAATGATTAACAAAGCAATACATTCTGTTATTCATTACAAAAGTATAAGCTCTTTCTTAAAAGTTCAGTGAAACTAACGCCATTTTAATATTTGTTATTGCAATGCTGGTGGGAGAGAATAAACTACTACCCATTTTACTTTAAGATAATTTGTCAATAGGTTGTAAAAATTTAAATGTGTACTTTCTTTGACCAAGAATTTCCAATTAAAGGATTCTGACAGAGGCATACTCACACTAAAACACCACAGAACTTCCTGCTAAAAAATTATAACTACTCATGTCCATCAATGGGAAACTGTTCAAATAAATTACAAAGGGACCACATAATGTAACGTTATTAAGCTACAAGGAGAAGATACTTTTGAAAAGACCTATATGTATTTATGTGAGAAATAAACAATAATATTGTAGAGGTTAAAAAAATAAGGTTAAAGAACAGTATATCTATCAAAATGCCATCCATGTAACCTCTCTTTTTTTTTTAAGTTTATTTATTCCATGATAAAAGGAGACAGAGAGAGGCAGCACCCTCAGCAAGGTCTTTTCACCACCATTCACGCCCAGTCTCAGCCAGCCAGGATTGCAGATGTCTGCATGCACACCTCCATGCAAAGGGAGGCCCCAGGATGTGAACCCAGGACCTTTGCATATAGGCTCAGCACTGCATCAAGAATGTGCTACCACAGTTAACCTGTCTAAAGTTTTTAGAAGATACTTCTCTACTCATGTAGAGATGGAGTCTGGAACAACAGTCGCTAGATTGTAAAGAGTCATTTCTATTGGTCCTTTTCTGGAAAAGTGGTATACATTACTGCACTGTTTCTATTGTTTAGTATTTGAAAGGAAATTACAGTGAATTTTTTTACAAAAAGAAAAATATCTCCTGACTATAAAATTATAAACCTGGTATCAAATATTAATTGGCTATTTCTTCTTTTTAAGTTTATTTACTTCTTCCATGAGCAACAGAGTCAGACAGGAAGAGACAGACAGAGCTGCAACACTCCCAACAGGGTCTTGATGCCATGACCCACTTCTAGTTTCAGTCACTTCTGGATCATAGACAGGCATGTATTTGTTGTACTCAGCCCGAATCATGGGCACCTGTGAGCCTGGTGTACTCAGGAACATCTCCAGACATGAAGCAGGAACCTTCCCATACACGTCACTCTCAGATCATTGCATTTTGCCACTGTGCCAATATCTTGCCCCCTAATTTGCTATGAATTTATGTTTACTATTTTTTTTTTTTTTGGTAATTGCTAGAGGGTGCCATGAGCTTGCCAGAGAGAGAGAGAGAGAGAGAGAGACGTCACCTCCCCAGTGGGTTATGGTCATACCCAAATCTTCTCCTCCATTTCTTCAACCTGTCAGGATTCAGGATACACAAAGCACATGTTAAGTCTCTCAAGCCACTGGGCTGGGATTCAAACTATGGTAAGTCATGTGGGATCTGACTGCACATACATAGCAATTAACCACTGTGCCACTGGGTCTGCCCTAATTCTTCAAATGCTACTCTACATCAGTGTTAATGTGCTACTGAAATAGGGCCGGCAAGTGGCCTGGTGGTTAAGGGCGCTGGACTTCCACATGGCCTATAGCAGATGGCTGACCATGATTCGAATCCCAGACCTGGCGGCTTACCTTCTCACTTTCTCTCTCTCTCTCTGTCCCTCTCTGGTCAAATTAAAATAAATAAAGATAAATAAAATTAAAATACACATGCATGCGTGTGCACGCGCACACACACACACACACACACGCGCGCGCGCAAATAATTAAATCATTGGTTTTATTTCTCCAAACCCCTTTGTGTACATTTTACCTGTCTAATTTGAAATATCATGTAGTTTTCAAAGAGTTTTCTAAGTTTGGGGGAGTAAAAAGAAAAAGCACAATACAATAGAAGACCTCAGTATTCAAGTCCATTCTTTAAGTAAGCAGGTACCTAGTTTTGAATGAGCCTTTTAATCTTTTTGTTTATCTGTAAATTTAAGGGTTTTGAGTTCTAACAGTGGTTCTGAAAAGGACTCCATGAGGAAAGGGTTTTATGGTCAAATAAGTTTATAAAATGCAGTAGGTTATTTTCCTAGAGTGAGTCATATTAGCATATTGAAGCACAGAATTGTCCTCTCTTCCTCCACCCCCACACAAAAATTAAAATCTGTTTAATTGTATTTAACTCAGCAATTTCCCGACTTAATTGATCCCAGAGCTGCTTCTTTATGAGTGCAGATGACTAGCATGCTTCGGGAAATTCAGCGGTGCTCCCTGATCTAGGGGGGACACATTCCAAGACGCTCAAGCTCAGTGGAAACTTCAAATGAAGGATAGTAAGTACCTTGATTCTTCCTGCAAATCTTTTCCTATACATACTCATATATACCTATGAAAGTTTAATTTGTAAATTAGGCACAGTAAAATATTAACAATAATAAAATAGAACAATTATACAATATGCAATAAATGCTATGTAAATGTGGTCTCTCTCAACATATCTTGTTGTACTGTACTCATCCTTCTAATCCGTCAACCTGGTAGACTAAATGACTACAAATACAGCGTGGACGTGCCAGACAAAGGCATGATTCACGTCCCGGGTGGGACTAGCACCAGGCATGAGATATCCTACTACACAGGACAGCATGTGATTTTAAACTAATTACTTGCTTATTTCTGGCATTTTTTGCTTTAATATTTTTGGACTGCATTTGACTGCAGGTAACTGAAACTAAAGAAAGTGAAATTGTAGATAAGGGGGGCACTGTAACACTGGACCAAAAAATCTTCCGAGTCTATGATTCTAAAGGCAGCTAAATAACTACGTACAATCAAATCACTACACAGGACAAATAAAAACAAGTAGAAATTCACAGCAAATAGAGGTTAAGAGAACACTGAAAACAGGGCTATTGAACCTGTTTCTAGTACAGATCTCTCTCTCTATACACACACACACGTATATAATGGATATATATGAACACATACTGCATGTATGTAGTATGTATATACTGTATGTATGTGAATACATATTTGTATATGTATGTGCATACATATACTATGTGTATATAGTGAATACATATGTATATACATATACATACATACATATTTATATATACCTTTTTTTTCCTCCTAAGCTTTCTCCTCACTAATTATAAATAGTTCCTTTGCTTTCATTTCCTCTCTCCCATATTGTTTCTCTTTTGACTCAGATAAGTGAAACGCAGTTCAACTACTGAAATGAAGTGCAAAGGACAGCAGTTTTAATTAGAGCTATCATATGTTTTTGTTTCTGTAACAAAAATTTTACTACTTTATGTCCTCATAGTTTCTAGTGTAGAGATGTACTTTCACCAACTTAATTTGATGTTATTTTCCATTATTTCAATTTTTGTAGGTATCTTTTATAAACAAACTGCTTTTCCAAATCTGAAATGAAATTCCAGCCCTTATGGACAACTAAATTCCAGCTATCCTTCCTAATATTCTGAAAGAATACTTTTCTTATCCTATCATATGTCCTCTCCCCCAGTTAGCACATAATTTAGATTTATAGTACTTGATCAAAAAAATTAAAATTAAAATGAATGATTATCCCAAAGAAATTAAGTTTTACAAGAAAAAGGATTCACAAAGAATATTCTCTTCTTGGTGATATATACAATTAGCTGTTACACAGATGAGAAACATTTGTTGAATGGTGAGAGATTAGCTTATTATATTTGCTCACAAAACTCAACTCCCTCTGACTTACCAATTTTTATTAATGACTTCTTCATTCTTTCCAGTTCCACCAGTTCCACCTTTAGGTTACTCAAACCATTACTGAATCATACACTTTCACACTTCATAATCCTCCTTCATATCACCCATCTATTTCATTGGATTGCCATTATCTGACTATAAATCCTAACTACTGTCTACCAAGATAAGATAATAATTTCTTCATTGACATTTCAGCATCAAGTTTCTTCCCTCCTCTACAGCATCTTCCAGACCTGCGTATTCCCTTTGAAGAAACATTAGCTCGTTAGCTGCTGGTCTCAAAAATCTACAGTACCAGGGCCAGCAGGTGGTATGGTGGTTAAGGTTCTAGACTCCCACATGGCTGACCACGGTTCCATTCCCAGACCCAGCAGCTGGGTGCATGTGCACATGTTCCCAAAATCCCAAGAGGAAAAAAGTGATTGTGGTGTGGCCATCTCCCCTGGGGGATGATTTCTCACTCTCTCTGTTTCTCTATAGTGCACATACCCTGTGGCAAAAACTAAACCAAACCAAACCAAACCAAACAAACAAACAAACAAAAAACTACAGTACTGCTCCTGGGTTGTGAGATATCTCATCTCAATATTCTCTATAGTGCACATACCCTGTGGCAAAAACTAAACCAAACCAAACCAAACCAAACAAACAAACAAAAAACTACAGTACTGCTCTTGGGTTGTGAGATATCTCATAACAATATTACCTCTACTTAAATTTTCCACTTTTCTTATTACTCTAAAGCACAACTCTTCCTTTAGTAAAACCAGTTGTCTTGTATTGCCCTGAAGATGTTCTCATCTCTGAATTCCAGTTTAATCTGGTCAGGGACACATTCTGCTACTCATAGCTGTCTGTCAAAATTTTACTCAAGGCAGGGACCAGCAGTTAAGCAGTTAGCGTAATGGCTATGTTGCTGGACTCCCATGTCAACCGTGGTTTGCGTCCCAAACCCGGTGGCTTAAACTCACACCGGGCATGTGTGCGTGCGTGCCCAAGATCCCGAGAGGAGAATGGAGGAGAAGGGATTGTGGCGTGGCCATCCCCCCTGGAGGGTGATTTCTCGCTTTCTATCTCTCTGTCTCTCTCTCTCTCTGTGTCTGGCGAGCGCACCCACCTTATAGCAAAAACTTCTAAAAAAAATTTTACTC